TTTTTTTAATCATTATTAAGGAAACTTGGTTTTTGATATGGGTGTGTAATAGTGTGAAATTGGACAATTTTTAGCTGTTTTTCTTTTGCTGGCTAGCTTGGCGGCATCATATCTGATTGGACTGCATCGAGTTTCTTCGCCTCCTACATGATTAGCTGCATGGTTTGAGCATGATAGCATCCGGGTGTCATACCTTCGGCAAGTTCTAGCCTAGGTCTTTGTCCTTTTTTTTGTTAAAAAAAAAAAATAAAATAAAAAAATTGAGGGATGTTTTCAATGGGGGACTCCACATATTATGACTTTGGAATCTTCTTAGATGAGTCCATGTGTAGGTAAGAAAGAATTTGATGTCCTGTAGTCCAAACTATAGCTCAATTTCTTATAGTCAAATGTTAGCTCATCCATGATGTTATTTGAGGGCTTGACTTTTAACCTTCTTTGTTCATCAAAGTCAATATTGTGAATTGTGTGATGATATGTTCATTACAACTACTTCGCCAACTCATCTATCCAATTTAAATTATTTTTTTAGGACCGGAAAAGATTTATTTGAGTGATCACTACATGATGATTTTTAATATGTAAATAATTGCATGACTGAGAATTTCAAAATCTACAATGCTTGTTATATGCAATGAATAATACGGTTCCATTTCATACATTATCGGATAGAATGGAAATGTAATACAAGTAAATAAGATAAAAACACCATTTTATTACTTTTATTTCATTTTTTTCATTATGTACATTAGATTCGTTGTAATTGTACCAAAAAAAAAAAGAAAAGAAAAAAATGCAAAATTTCATCGTATAACCGTTTTTAAATTTGTTTAATTATATATTTATTCTAAATATTTATTTTTTTGAACATTGTAGGACCTATTTTTATTTCATTTTATATATGCAATATAAATGTATAATTATATGATATATAAAAAATATTAATGAATTAACAAATATTAAACTTTAAAATATATTTGTAATTTAAATCGACCAATATTTTATAATTTTAAGAGTTTTAATATGAATGAATCGGAGTATGAATCTAAGGGTGAGCGTGGGTCGTTACGGTTCGAATATTGATAAATTTCTATACCGTACCAAACTTCGGAGATCCCAAAATTCGATCTCTGGAACCGTACCAAAAAGTCGGTTCAGTTCGATTCGGAGATTGAACCGTACCAAAAAGTCGGTTCAGTTTGATTCGGAGATTTTTTTTTCGGTTCGGTATTCGGGACTATTGGGATGGTTCGGTTCGGTATGGTTTGGTTCGAATCTTTGAGATTTTTTATTTTTAAATTATTTTTGAATGATTACCTAGTTATATTTTAATTTTTAAATGCTTTAAAAAAACAACATTCATCAATAATTCACCATATTGAAGATTTTATTTTGAAATCAATTCTCGAAGTAACTCTAAATTTTAGTCATTTAATTTTTATATGCTTTAATAAAACCAACATTCATCAGTACTTCCTCAACAACAACAACAAAGTCTTTTAGTCCCAAACAAGTTGGGGTAGACTAGAGATGAAACCCAATACAAACAGTGGTAAAAAAAAAAATAAGAAGCTCAAAAACAAAACTCAAAACAAAAACAAAAGAAAAGGAAGAGATTGGAGCAAACGAGAAATAAGCAAAAGTCACGGTTCCGGCACGCTGATCGCTAGCCTCAAAGCACTCCTATCCACCGCTAAATCCTTGGAGATATTCCAATTTTTAATGTCTTTCTGAACTGACCCTTCCCAAGTGAGTTTAGGCCGACCTCTACCTTTCTTAACAACATCGACCCGCTGTAGAACTCCCTTACGCACCGGTGCATCAGGAGGCCTCTGTTGGACATGTCCGAACCACCTCAGCCGATGTTGAACCAATTTCTCCTCAGTTGGAGCCACCCCGACCCTATCTCGAATATCCTCATTTCGGATTTATCTCTTTTTGAGTGCTCGCAAAACCAATGCAACATCCGTATCTCTGCTACACTTAGTTGTTGGACATGTTGCCTTTTTGTAGGCCACCATTCAGCACTGTATAGCATCGCCGTGCGAATCGCCGTCCTATAGAACTTACCTTTTAGCCTTTGTGGCACCCTCTTATCACAGAGAACGCCCGAAACTTGACGCCATTTCAACCAACCGGCTGCAATTCTATGCCTAACATCTTCATCAATGCCGCCATCTTTTTGTAGCATCGATCCTAAATATCGGAAAGTCTCCTTCTTGGCCACCACTTACCCGTCAAGGCTAACGTCACCATCATCATGAGTAGCCATGCTGAAAGCGCACGTCATGTACTCGGTCTTCGTCCTACTAAGTCTGAAGCCTTTCGACTCTAACGTGTCATTCCACAGCTCTAACTTCCTATTTACCCCTGCCCTACTCTCGTCAATTATCACCACATCATCAACAAAGAGCATACACCAAGGGATATCATCTTGTATGTCCTTTCTGGCCTCATCCATTACCAAGGCAAAAAAAAAAGGGCTCAATGCTGACCCCTGGTGTAGTCCTATTTTAATTGGGAAGGCGCTGGTATCGCCCCCATATGTTCAGACACACGTCATCGCATCCTTGTACATATCCTTGATGAGAGTAATGTACTTAGATGGGACTTTGTGCTTTTCTAAGGCCCACCACATGACATTCCTCGGTACTCTGTCATAAGCCTTCTCAAGGTCGATAAAGACCATGTGCAAGTCCTTCTTTTGGTCCCGGTATCCCTCCATCAACTGTCGTATTAGGAAAATCGCCTCCATGGTCGACCTTCCAGGCATAAACCCAAATTGGTTTTGGGTCACACTCGTCACTCGGCGTAGGCGATGCTCGATAACCCTCTCCCAGAGCTTCATCGTATGGCTCATCAACTTAATCCCACGGTAGTTACCACAACTTTGAATATCACCCTTGTTCTTGAAGATCGGTACTAAAGTACTTCTCCTCCATTCATCAGGCATCTTGTTTGACCGGAAGATAAGGTTAAAAAGCTTAGTTAACCATACTAACGTTCTGGCGCCCAAACATCGCCACACCTCAATAGGGATACCATCAGGGCCCATTGCTTTACCTCCCTTCATCCTCTTCATAGTCTCTCTGATCTCTGCATCTCGGATTCTCCTCACCAAACATCTATTGGTATCCTCAAATGAGTCAACCAACTCCAGGGTAGGACCCTCACTCTCCCCATTAAACAATTTGTCGAAGGTTAATATTTATTACTATATTATATAGAATTAAAGTTGCCGTAAAATATATTAATAACACATCTAATGTTATAATTCGGTTTTTAATTTCGATTCTTCGGTTCGGTACGGTACGAGACGATTCAATTCGATTATCGGTACGGATATTTGTGAAATTTCCAGAACCGTACTAATTATTTTTTCAGTTCAATTCAGTTCGGAGAAAGTCAAACGATCAACGATTATTATTCGATTCGAATTGATTTCGGTTTTCGGAACGTTTCGGAATTCTCCAAGTCACATGCTTTTATGAATCTACCCGAATTAAAATGTTTAGCTCCGCCCCCAAAAGTTTTTGTGCCAAAACTGACCGACACTCCCACTGACCTGACCGCTGTTTGAAAATTGAACACAACACAAACACAGTGGCGGTGTAGCCGGCGATTTTTCCCCCAAAAATTTTGCCACCCGAGGATTTCTGCTCTCGCCGGTATTCATCTCCAGCCGAGGACTACACTTTCGTAGATTCGGAGGAATTACATGGCGGCGGAGGCGGCGAAGCAGCAGCGTCTGTGGGACGGCGTGATGGAGATGACGAAGGCCGCGCAGGAAACGGGCACCGACCCCCTGATATGGGCCACGCGGCTTTCGTCGAGTCTCACTGCCGCCGGCGTCTCCATGCCGTCCGTCGAGGTGGCGGAGCTGCTCGTTTCTCACATCTGCTGGTCGAACAACACCCCAATCGCGTGGAAGTTCCTCGAGAAGGCGCTCACCGTTCGTATCATACCACCCCTGTTCGTTCTCGCCCTTCTCTCGGCCAGGTATTTTTCTTTAGTCGTTCCTTAATAATGTCTTTAACCTGTTTATGTATGGAGTTGGGCGTGTTCTGCTCCAGGCTACCCGTGTGGTTCCGCAATAAGGTGCAGTCTCGTTGCACATAGGATAGTTTCATCTTGTGCTAATACGCGAAACAGTTCAGGCTACCGAGCAGAATGTGGTGAGTGGTGTGTGACATATTATCTTGCTTTGTGTTGCTGTGCAGGGCAATACCAAGTCGAAGAAGGTATCCGGTAGCTTATAGATTGTATATGGAGCTTCTGAGGAGATATGTTTTTTCTCTGCCATCTTTGATTAGTGGTCCCGATTATCACAAGTATGACTGCTAGACCTGTTACTTTGGTGATTAACTCTTTGTTGGTATCTTTGAGATTGAATAATGGATTCATGATAAATCTGAAAGTTGAGATCCCTTTCTATCTCCTACTGTGTCATTTCAAGTTCCCCAGACTGATGTATGCTAGCACTTGCTTTCTCTTGATGTTTACAGTGCTGTGCAATATAAAGTTTCTTACTCAATATACACAGGCTAATTTATGAAATTTTTGGTTCTGGACTTCCTGTGGGATACGAGGATTCGTCTAATGTTAAACAAGTTTTTTTCATCTGTTTGCTCGATATTCACCATCAAGTCAAAAAAATGCTTTTGTAAATGTTTAGCTTACACAATCCTGTGATCAGAGTAAGGAAAGTGGAGCGAATTTACTCTCTTATATCAGCTGACAGATATGTTTGGTTTAGTTAGTTGGCAATGATTAGAGAGTACATCCTCTTCTTATTTAGTCGTCATGCTTTAATGAAAATGCTGTATAATCTAACAGAAGCATGTGAATTTCATTTATTTGCATTGGCACACACACACACACACACACACACACACACACACACAAAAAGTCTGCCGACATCTTACTACAATTATTAATGCATGGCAGGACTATGGAATCTATAAACAATGTGCTCCATCTTCGTCAAATATTCGAAGTTCAGTCCTCTGGACCTGGGCATATTGTTGTTGAATTTATATTTTCAGTTGTATGGAAACTACTTGATGCATCACTTGATGATGATGGCCTGTTAGAGCTCGCCTTCGAAAAGAAATCAAGGTGGCCAATCAAGAGTCAAGACATGGAAATCGACTGTATTGATGGATTTGAAGGGAAAAGTTTGGAACATCAAGCAGCACTGAGTAAGATGAATACTGTAATGGCTATTGAAATAATTGCTGAGTTTTTTCAGAACAAGGTGACTTGCCGGATACTTTACTTGGCCAGGCGGAACATGTAAGCTTCTTATATCTTTCTGTTTCCTTATATTTAAACTTAGGTGTACTTGTTCAGCATTCTTGAGTCTTGGCAGACGCCAAATAGTGTGTCACTGGTGTGTCGAAGTAGTATCCCTTAAAGATGCATATGCCATAAATCTGAGCTTCTCGACTTCCTCATGGTTGTATACTTGTTCTGATCTGAAGCTTGATTTGCTCTGTTTGCTTGTAGGCCATCTCATTGGGATTGCTTCATTCATCATTTAAGACTACTGACCACAAGTTCTGCATCTTTAAGGAACTCAAAGAATATCTCTCCAGAAGCACTTCAGCAGTTGACATCAGATACACGGAGACTTCTGTCTCGTGCGTGTAAAATGAGCCTAGTTGCTACAACTCCTGTATCAGCTAGTGGTAAATGTAAGGGTACTGTTCGCTCGGCTCTCTGGCTTCCTATAGATCTATATTTAGAAGATATGATGGATGGATCAGAAGTGAGAGCTACCAGTGCTGCTGAAACTTTAACTGGTACTTTTTCCCATAACCGTGGTTCAAAATCTAAATATGTAGGAAGAGATAAAGTTGCTAATGCTGATAGGTATTATTGCAGGTCTAGTGAAGTCTCTCCAGGCTGTAAATCAAACCACTTGGCAGGATACATTTCTTGGTTTGTGGACTGCAGCTTTACGTCTTGTTCAGAGGGTAAGAGCTAAATTAAGATAAAGAAAACGTAACATGTTTCTTTCCATAATTTAAAGTCAAATTTAGGAGTAAATATTGCCAAAATTATTATCTCTCTCTCTACATACACACATTCACAGACAATTTTGCCTTTAGAATTCACCTAGTTATAAGATGGGCCTGGGTAGGACACATGCCAAAAGGCTTGCTCAAAGGGAGAATGTGCCAAACTCACATCTACATACTAAACGGCCCAGTAACTTATCATCTGGGACAAACATGACTTCTAACGTTAAGAGTTTTTATGATTATTTTGTTTAGAAAATTGCTACCTGAGGTTGGTAGAGTTGTCACCATAATCTTTACAAAGGCATTACACTGTGTTTGTTGAATATTTCCCCAATTTTCCATTGGATCTGTTCAGGAGAGGAATTCCATTGAGGGTCCTGTTCCGCGCACAGATACTTGTTTATGCTTGCTATTGTCCATTACAACTCTTGCTGTGGTTAATATTGTTGAAGAGGAGGATATCATGTTAAGTGGCGAAGCCGAACAAAGCTCCATCGGTCCGAGGAAACATACTGATTTCGTTGGAAAACGTCGCGAAGACTTAGTTTCCAGCCTTCAGCAGTTGGCTGATTTTGAAACATTGTTGACTCCCCCACAAGTTGTAAGCCCATTGGCAAATCAAGCTGCTTTAAAAGCAATGATGTTCCTTTCTGGTGTCTCTGTGGGGAGTGGGCTTCTTAATGGAATGAGTTTGAATGACATGCCCCCGAATTGTTGTGAGTATCTCATATCTGCGAGCTTTCATGTTATTAGTTTCTTGTGTTGTGATGACTATTGTAAATGTTGTCTTTGCTGATTCACTTGCACAAAAGCTGCTGTGTAGATTACATGTTCGTAGGCTGAGGTTGTTGGACATGTGCAATTGCACTACTGTGTCGCATTTGGATATAGCATCCACTCAGTTTCTCTATCTTGCCAAATATGCCCTAGTCATTATAGCATTCTTTTTCTTCTTCTTCTCTCTCTCTTTTCTTTTTTTTTTTTT